CCAAACCAAAAAATTGATTGTTAGTTTTGACGGTCAAGACCGTTGTTGACTAATGGTCAACTCTCCACGTTACTACCTAGTCAACATAAATAAAAGTAAAAAATTCCTAAATTCCACATAAATCATAATCCGATTTTCCTATTTATTTTAACTGAAATAAAGAAAAAAAAATTAAAATTAAAAACCAAAAGTCGGAACCCTGGGTCCAGATAGAATAACAACACTTTTAGTGTTGTTATTGTAACAACAAGGACAAAAAGGTAAAACTAACCAAATATAACAAATTAAAATTAATAAATAAAATTTCAATCCCTACCTGTCCTCGATGTACTCCGCTACCATTCCCCAGCGACCGCTTCTCCTCCCGTTCGCTCGTCGCAGGAACACCCTGCTATCGACTCCGACGGTAGAGGCGTCAACCTGTCTCTGATCTCAGGCAAACATCAGATCGGAACCGCGATTTATCTGGAAGCTACGATTGAGGCCTCTATCTCCCCGCCGTTCCTTCTTTCTCTCTCCGTCGGGGTTGCCAGTCGTCCTCTCGTTTCTTCTTTCTTCAGACGCCGGCGCCGAATCGAACGAGTCTACAGCCACTTTTTCGTCGGCGTTAGATCTCGATAACGGTGGGTGAGGTTTCTGAGGTCGTAGATGGTTGAGGAGGAAAGAAACCGTGATGTTTTTGTCGGAGAGGAAGAGCTCGATGACAGAGTCATAGTCGGTGCAAGCGAAGAAGAAGAAAACACTGGTCACTGACTGATTAATCTCCTAACTCTCTCTTTTCTGGCTAACTTTCAAAACTAGGAATGCTTTCAATCGAATGGTGGCAGGGTCTTGTTCTTCGACCGCCAAATCCATAACGATGGATCACTGCCTAGCCGATCGGGAGCGGATACTATAACAAACAAGCATCTGTTTTTCGTAGTAACGGTGGTGTGCCTGATAGCTGTGTGATGCTTGCTCGCAGAGATGCAATTGGCTGGATTTTGCAAGTGAAATCACATTATGGGTTCACTGCTTTAACCTGTGTTGTTGCTGTCAATTACTTCGACAGATTCGTTTCCAACTTTACTTTCCAAAGAGAGAAGCCATGGAGGGGTCAACTTGTTGTAGTGGCTTGTTTGTCTCTGGCTGCTAAAGTGGAGGAAACTCAAGTGCCTCTTCTGCTGGACTTGCAAGTTAGCTTTTGATCAATCCAAACTTTCCTCTTTCTTGAACCAATGGTTGATGAATCAATTTTTTTTATTTTTACTTTTGCAGGTGAGGGTGTTCGAAGGGAATTGTGGGTCATTGACTCAGTATGTGATGAAGCTAATGAGAGCATTTGCCGTCTGTAAAATTTTCAAAAGCACGTCAAAAACTTGATAATGCAAATCACAAACACGATAAAATAAATCACAAAAAGCATACTAAAAACCTCCTAAAGCAGACTACAAATCGCCTAAAACATACCAAAAACCTTACAAAGCAATCCACAAATATTTCTAAAGCACACCAAAACCTTCTAATGCTGACAATAAATACGATAAAACAAACAACAAAAAACATACCAGAAACCTCCCAATACATGCCACAAATTCCCTAAAACAAACCAGAAATCTCACAAAACACACCATAAATATTTTGAAAAGCACACCAGAAACCCCCTAATGCAACACAAACACGGTAAAGCAAACAAAAAACGTCATAATGCAGACCACAAATATATTAAAACAAACCAGAAACCTCGCAAAGCAAACCAGAAAAGTTTCGAAAGCACACCATAAACTTCTTAATGCAAACCAGAAACTTCCTAATGCATACCACAAATCTCCTAAAACAAACCACAAACCTCACAAAGCAAACCACAACATTTGCGAAAGCACACCAGAAACCTCATAATGCAAACCACAAATACAGTAAACCAAACCACAAAAAAGCAAACCATAAACGTCCTAATGCAGACCACAAATATATTAAAACAAACTAGAAACCTCATAATGCAAACCACAAAGTTTTGGAAAGCAAACCAGAAACTTCTCAATGCAAACCACAAACACGATAAAGCAAACCAGAAACTTCTCAATGCAAACCACAAACACAATAAAACAAACCATAAAAGGCATAAAAAAATATGAGAAACCAAACCATAAATCTCACAATGCAGACCATAACATCCGGTGGTCGTTCACTGTTGACCGGTCAACGAAGACCGTTGACCGAACTCCGGTGACCGTCAGTGAGCAGATTCCGACGCCGATAGGCATATTCCGGTCCCGGTGACTAGATTCCGACGCCGGTAAGCATATTCCGGCCACAAAATAGCATATTCCGGCGACAAAAAGCATATTCCGGTGACCGGTGGCAGAATTCCGACGACCAAATTTTTGGCCAGAAAATAAAAAAAATATTTTTTTTATTTTTTTATTTTTTTATTTAAATAGATTTTCATAATGACAATTATACCCCTGCTTTGATTTTACACTAGGTCAACTCATTTAATAAAAAGTCATCACAATCCTAGCTTCCTATTGGTTGGGGACTAGTGTTGTTACAATAAGGGACTAGATACTATAACAACACTCCTTTTGTTGTTATTGTAACAACAGTAGTCTCCAACCAATAGGAAGCTAGGATTGTGGTGACTTTTTATTAGATGAGTTGACCTAGTGTAAAATCAAAGCAGGGGTATAATTGTCATTATGAAAAATATATTTAAATAATAAAAAAAATAAAAAAATAAAAATTTTTTTTTTTTTTTAATTTTCGGACCAAAATTTTGGTCGCCGGAATTCGGCTACCGGTCGCCGGAATCTGGTCGTCGGTCACCGGAATATACTTTTTTGTCGTCGGAATATGCTATTTTGTCATCGGAATATGCAACCGTCGCCGGAATATGCTCACCGTGGTCGGAATATGCTTACCGGCGTCGGAATCTAGTCATCGGGACCGGAATATGCCTATCGGCGCCGGAATCTACTCACTGACGGTCATCGGAGTTTGGTCAACGGGTTTCGTTGACCGGTCAACGGTCTTCGTTGACCGGTCAACGGCCAACGACCACCGGATGTTATGGTCTGCATTGTGAGATTTATGGTTTGGTTTCTCACATTTTTGTATGCCTTTTGTGGTTTGTTTTATCGTGTTTGTGGTTTGCATTAAGAAGTTTCTGGTTTGCTTTATCGTGTTTGTGGTTTGCATTGAGAAGATTCTGGTTTGCTTTCAAAAATTTTGTGGTTTGCATTGAGGGGTTTGTGGTTTGTTTTAGGAGATTTGTGGTCTGCATTAGGACGTTTCAGGTTTGTTTTTGTGGTTTGATTTACTGTGTATGTGGTTTGCATTAGGAGGTTTCTGGTGTGCTTTCGCAAATGTTGTGGTTTGCTTTGTGAGGTTTGTGGTTTGTTTTAGGAGATTTGTGGTGTGCATTCGGAGGTTTCTGGTTTGCATTAAGAAGTTTCTGGTGTGCTTTTGAAACTTTTGTGGTTTGCTTTTTGCGAGGTTTCTGGTTTGTTTTAATATATTTGTGGTCTGCATTAGGACGTTTTTGGTTTGCTTTACCGTGTTTGTGGTTTGTATTAGAGAGGTTTCTGGTTTGCATTAAGAAGTTTCTGGTGTGATTTCGAAACTTTTGTGGTTTGCTTTGCGAGGTTTCTGGTTTGTTTTAATATATTTGTGGTTTGTTTTGTGGTATTTCTGGAAATGAAGAAGACACATAGACATAGTTACGTTTTTTCCTTCCAAGAGATTATATATATGTGTAGGAAGACAAATACCCTACCAAAAGGGGAATGGTATGGGATATATATATATGCATGCACATGCAATACAAGTAGAACCAGCTAGCTGAGCCTGAGCCTGAAAACAACCTCATGCATGGTGGAGACAAAGTCTCTCTGCTGGTTGACTGTCCTTCTATCACCTCCTCCATCCCCTACTTCCAGCCAAATCAAAATTGGTATTTGTCATTGCACCCTTCGTAGCTCCAATACTTCATCTCTCTCTCTCTCTCTCTCTCTCTCTCTCTCTCTCTCTCTCTCTCTCTCTCTCTCTCTCTCCGAGACAGCGATGAGGGATGAAGAGGCAGATGGGGTTCTTTTCTTTCCACATAATTTCATAGGCGCATATGCGCACAAGGATTGAAGTCACCATCTGTCCCAATTTGCAAAAGTCAAAGCCCTCGGCCGATAAATGCCAGATCCTTCGTTTTGGTGTTTCCTTCGTTTTGTTGATAGGGGGAAAGTGGCGCCAATGTGCTAGTGGGTTTCCAAGGTTTACACTACCGTCGGAGAGAGGATGTCGCCGGAGTAGAGAAACAACAGTTGATTTTGATTCGGAATAGGATTTACAGTCGGAGACAGTGAACAGATTTGAGAAACTAAACGCGATTACGGATCGAGATGAGGCATCTATGTAACAGAAGGAGAGCGAGGAGTAAGGCTGACGGCAGCGGCAACGATGAGCAGCATCGTCGATCGGAGGTCGGAAGGAGATAACAATGGAGGAGAGAGAAAAAAAACGAACTAGATCTGAATGGGAGAGAGAAGGAGACGGATGAGAGAGAATGAAAAGTGATAAATGAGAAGTTTGACCGGAATTTAAATTATTGTCCATAATTATCTTTCTGTTAATTTAATATTTTATTATCTAATAATTAATGGTATTTTACCTTTGTACCCTTAATGAAGTCTGTTGTTAGTATAACAACACTAAGGGTGTTGTTATTCTATCCGAACCCTTACAATAACAACACAATGGGTGTTGTTACAATAACTGGTCCCCGGAACCCTCTGTCTACCCTAACCCTACCATTTGTCTGTGTCGGACAAGCACCCGTTCGCCTTCCTCCCAGAGCGTCGCCGACCTCGCCGCTTCCTACTTCACCTCCTTGGCTCACCAAATCACACGCCCGGAAGCCTTCCATCCTTCTCGGCGTCGCCGCATTCCTCGCCGGAGCCCCACTCTGTGGGGCGGCTTCCAACATCTACATGCTCATCTTCAGCCGCGAAGATCAGATCCGACTACTCATGCGGATCTCGCTGTCGACGGCGGCAGTTCCGGCGGCGATTATCACGGTTGGAGCAATCTTCTTCATCTTCTTCCCGGAAACCCCAAGCAGTTTAATTCAACGCACAAACGACAACGACAGGGCACGAAGGCCGCTCCAGAGAGTCAGGGGAACTTCAGAGGTCCAATCCGAGCTTTCGGATCTAATTGAAGCGAGTCAGATCTCGAATTCGATCCATAACTCGTTTACAAAGATTCTGCAAACCAATTACCGGTCTCAGCTGGTGATGGCGGTCATGATTTTATTCTTCCACCAGGTCAACTTAATCAACTTCATCGCCTCTAAGCTCCGCTGCTCTTCCGGACGATCGGGATCGGGGAGAGCGCTTCTCTCATGTTGGCGATCCTCACCGGCGCCGCCGGGATCAAGACGACCTTCCTATCAATGGTGATCGTGTATAGGGTCGGGAGGAGGTCTCTGTTCTTGTTCGGCGGGAAAAAAGAAAATGAAATATTAAATGAAGAGAGATAGCTCCATAAATATATCAATAACTTATTTTGGTAAAAAAATTGTCCATCTTGATGACTTGTGAACTCTTCAAGTGCGTATGTGGCAAATAATTATTTTTGAATTATCATAATATTATGTATGTACGTATAGATGATAATTGAAAGCTTATTCTTATTTGTCAACTAACATTTTTGACTTTTTCACTCTCCAGTCTCCACTACATAATAACAACTTCATTCTATACAATAAGGAAGAAGAAATTAGACATGTCTCCACAAATATAAGGAATATTAGTTGTTTAAAAATAGATATATATTGCTTCGAATATTAACTATACCATAATACATGAAGCAAAATCTGGATCTCGATCATCATTAATGGTGGCATCGAGGTCGAGTGGCTGTAGGGGTGGGGGGCGGTTTCTCTTCCTTTCGAAATTAGGGTTAGGATTTAGTATGGGGAATGCCAAATGTGAAGTGGGTAAGAGGTTTGTAGTTGGGAGCGAGTACGGGTTGGATATAGCTAAACCCGAGTCCAACCCAACCCGCAAAACAAGAAACGAATTTAAATTGAATCCAATGGGGTACCTATGGCTTCGGATCATGTTATCGTCCCTATTTGGGAATGTAGCCTTCTAAGTTAGAAAAGGTTTTGATTTTTGAAGCAAGCAATAAAAGCGAGAAGGCCGTTTGGTCAGTGAGTCATCGGATTTGATTGCGATCAAGCAAGAAGGTAGAAAAAACTTTAGAAGTTAGAACTCCCAAAAGAAAAAAGGAGGGCAAAATGACATTCCTTTCACTTTCGCTTCCCACTTTCTGGCCCCAATCCAAATTCCTTTCTTATTGTTGTTAGGCTGTTAGCACTTAGTAGAACCATCTGCCATCTGGTACAGTACCCTACTTAGTACATCAAACAGCAACCCCACACTTCCCACAATTTGTCCCCTTTCCCCAATTCTAATCCATCCCATGATTGAATGATATCTTTTTCTTTTTTTTTGACAAAATGATTGAATGATATCAAAGCAAAAATTTACTCTAACGTTTGTATCGATTTTCCATTGTATGATTTCAACTTTTAACTGAGATCGTTGGAATCATTTTGAACAGAGATTGCAGAAATAGTTCATTTGGGAAGAAGGGACGCAAGCCACATTTCCGATATAAAGTGACTTACTTTTTTTAACCATTAAAAACACGATCATACGTATCAAACACAGTAATCTATAATCACCAAATTCATCAATATATGTATATCCAACACATTGATCACAACACATCAATTTAACGATTAGACAAACCAAGCATATCCCTTAAATGCAAAACTTGTCAGCAGTAGAGTGCAAGAGCAGAAGCTCCATCCATACACACACCTCATTCAGCAGCATAACCAAATCCGAACCCGGTCACAGCAGATACCAAAGGAAAACAGCAGACCAAGGGGAAAGAACCAACTATGTAATGCTATTTAGAACCATGAGGGTGACTGTGACTGACATCTAATAAACCATAGACCAGAGATATGTAACTACAATCTACTATAGCAGCTAATGAACTTCTACCAAAACTGAAGCTGACGATGCTTACACACTCAGCGCGACTTGCTCGGCTGAACTTCTCCTGATAGCACCTCTTATGCACAACTCATTCAACAACTCCAAGGCCTCCTTACCTAACCCTTCACTGGCTATACCTTCAATCAAAATGGTGTATGAAACTTCAGTGGGTTTACACCCCTTTGAAACCATGTAACCCAAGAAGTCAATTGCACGAGCAGTCTGTCCACCCTTGCACAGTCCCATCATTATAGAATTGTAAGCCACAGCATTTGGCTTAATTCCTGATCCATCCAAGTCCCGGAAAAACTTGATCCCTTCATCAACCTTTCCTTCTCTACAAAGCCCACCAATAAGCGATGAATAAGTGATCACATCCGGTTTCAGACCTTTCCCCCTCATCTCATCTAATAATTTTGCAGCTTGACCTGTCTTCCCCACTTTCGAAAGCCCATCGATAACCGTATTATAAGTTATCAAAACGGGGGAGCAGCCTTTGCTACTCAGCTGGTTGAGTATCTCAACTGCAGCATCAACTTTTCCATCTTTGCACAGTGCAGTCAACAAAGTGTTGTAAGTCACAATATCTGGATAACAACCTCTAGACACCATCACCTCAAGATACTCGATCGCCCTCTCCATCTTCTTCTCCTTGCAGAAACCATGCAGAAGTGGGTTGTAACTCAAAGAATTAGGTGTGCATCCATGGCTTGACATCTTCTCCAAAAGATCAATCGCTCGACCTAATAAACCCTTGCGGCACAAGAAATTAATTAAGATGTTGTACGTAACAACGCTTGGTGAACAGCCTTTACCAACCATTTCGGACAAGAGCTTCTCAGCATCCATCCACCTTCCAGTACTACACATGCCACGCAAGATAATGTTGTGAGTGATCACATTAGGGTGGCAGTTATAAGATGGCATGTTGTTCAAAAACTTAATAGCCTCATCCAGCTTCCCCTCTTTGCACATCCCATTGACCAGAACATTATAAGTAACCACATCAGGTTTGCACCCTCTACTCCTCATTTCATCTAATAACTTCAATGCCTGCCGAAACCCACTCTCCCTACATGTCGCCTCGATCAAAATCGTGTATGTGATGACATCAGGCTGACAGCCTTTCTCCAGCTGCAAGTCGAGAACTTCCATGGCTTGCTCCAATTTCCCATTATCACACAATGTGCGAAGAATGGTGTTATAGGTAACAACATCAGGCAAAACATCACTACTCATTCGGTCTAATACCTTCAACGCATTCTCAATCTCACCTGCTTTGCAATACCCACTGATTAATACATTGTAAGTCACAACATCTGGAGATGCACCAGAGCCCTCAACGATATCCATCACTCGAGTAGCCTTTCTTGTTCTACCTGTCTTGCAGAACCCACGAATGAGGCTCGTGCACGCGATTATGTCAGGGATTCCGCCCTGAGAAACCATGTTCTCGAGGAACTTGAACCCTTCCTCGAGCTCCCCATTTCGAACCAATTTCCGGAGATGATTGTTGCCATCAGGGTGCAGTGGATTTGAGGAGATATAATGGCCATTTGTTATACGCCCATTTGCCTGTTTATCTGAAGTGTAAGCTCTCCCATTGGAATGCAGAGTTTCTACATGAGAAGCAGCAAGAACTCTACTTTTTCTCAGCTTTACAGTCCCCACAGAAACCCTGGACCTTGATCTAGTTCTAGTATTTGCCCTACCTCCAAAAGACCCGCCATGCCTAGTGGCGGTGTCAAAGTGTTGAAGCGAGTAAAACCCTTCATGGGTATGGTTAGTATGGACCACGAAATCCATCTTCGAGACCAATTTAAGGCGCCCTGGAAAAGGTTAACAAATAATTCAAACGCTGGTCAGTGTAACAAGGTACACAGAGAGAAGGTCAAAAAGAAGAGAAGAGCCCAGGAGCAGGGAAAGCTTACAATCTGTCGTCGCCGGGGTCGAGGAGTAGACAATCCCAACGAACCGCGGAATAAAGGCTGGGGTAGAAGATTGATTTCTTGTTCACAGAGGTGTGAAGGAAATAGAAGAGACTGGGTGCCGTGGCGGCGTGAAGAGGTTGTTGCTTATCCGGTCGAGCGTCGTCTTCCTCGGTTGAATTTTGCAGGGTGCGCTGCGGGCAAGCCTAAGCCGAGAGAGAGCAGCGTTTTTAATATCTAAAGTCTAAACCATTTCAGAAATCAAATATTTGATTAGTCAGTCCAAGGAGGCGGCCTGCCATTTAGTCGGGCTCAAAATTTAAGAACTTCTTCTTAGTTTCCGAATCTCAAGTTCGGCCCACGAAGCCCAACTGAAACTCTACCTCAACAGTCACTTCCAACCAGCCAATTTGGTGAACGGGCTCACACATAATTTGGGCCAATGCTCTATCTCAACGGCCGAGCAATTCGGGCCGACCTGTCGGGTGGTTGCGGCTAAATTACACGTTTGGTCACTCAAATTATATAAATATTTTATGTTTGTTATCCAAATTATGTTTTTTCTTATTCGCCACTAACTTTACGAATCGTTTCACTGTTAGTCATCCACCGTTATACTCCGTTAAGTTTGTCTTATGTGACAATCAACTATAAAATTTGACCGTTAACTAGATGATGTGAAAAATAAAAAAACCTAAAAAAAATATTTTCTCAACTTATCATTCCACTTATTATGTCTGTTATAAGATTAATTATATATTTAAAATTTAATAAATTACAAAATTTAATTATCAGTCTATCATCGCCTGCTCCACGCTCTTGGAGTTCCCCCCGATGTACAACATCTCGTTGTGGACTTGTGGTCGTAGTTCGACAGCAGGGCGGCCAGATTATCCGGTAAGAAGACGGTGCCTTCGTCGCCCATCCGGCGGGTGTGGAGCTAGAGAACCCGAACCGCATCCATTCGGGGTAGGAGAAGTGGGTCGGGGCAGAGTTCAGAGCGGGGGAGGCATCGGGACTTTGGACGTCCTCCAGCCACATGAAGCCGCGGGTGCGGTTCAGGGACCAATGAGAGTGAAGAGAATGTGGGAGAGGTTGGTCGGGGAATTATTAGGGTCCCAGCGGTGGTCGGCAGTGGTAGCAGCGTTGCGGGCGATGGAGGAGAGTAGGCGGTGTAAGGAAACGACGGGGGTGATGCCGCCGCTCTTGGGTCGTAGAAGGCGGCGTAGAGGCCGATGTAGAGGAAGGACAGGATGAACGAGAGAATGAGAGATTTCCCGACGACGGAGATTAGATGAAATGGCTTATCGTCTGCCTTGTGCTTCGTCATTGTCGGGGTCGGCGGTAGCCGTCATTATTGAATCTGAATTGTGAACTCCGCCTTCGAAGTTGGGATTTGTGGGATGAGAACACGATTACGATCCAATTGAAACCGCTTCTCGCCGAATTATCCATTCCCCCTTGGGGAAGAGGAAGAGCCAGAGGCGAGCCGTAGATTGAGGGTTGTGATTGAGCTTGCCGCGGTCGCAGTCCTTGTATGCTCCATTATTTTTATAATTTATTAATTTTTATTGAATAATTAGTATGTTAATAGACAAAGTAAGTGGGACAACTAGGTGGAATTTTTAATTTTTTTTAATTTCCACGTCATCTAGTTAACGATCAAACTTTATAGTTGACTGCCACATAGGACAAACTTAACGGAGTGTAATGGCTGGTGACTAATGGTGAAATGATCCGTAAAGTTAGTGGCGAATAAGAAAAAAAGTAATTCGGATGGCAAACGTGAAAAATTTGCATAATTTGAGTGAACAAACGTGTAATTTAGCCGGTATCCGGCATATAAAAGTAGAGTATGTCTTTTCAGAAGCAATCCATCATCTCATTTTGGGGAGAAGTGAACCCTTCCATTTCATCGGATTGGGCTTTGATTGAGAAATTTAACGTGATTTTCTCGAACATCGGGACTATTTTATAGGAGAGACATAACTATTTTATTGTGCGGCTTATTCAGTTCTTGTCGTTTTTTCCCCATGAATGACTTAAAGCCAATATACAAGAGTATATATACGAAATCCTTTCAATATGTGACTAGGGTAACACTAATGAGTGGCATATTCCTATTACATATACACACATCCATATCTAACAATATGGAAGGTTTCGCTGAGACATATCCCACGAGAAACAAATTTAGTAGCATATTATCTCGCCGAGAATGAACATCAAAATGATTGCGAGGAGGCATTGCTATGTGTTGGATCTAGTATTGACCTGCCTAATACGGGCCCAAGCCCTCCACAAAGCGTCTCACTTTGGGCCCAAGCCCATTCTAGGGTCCAGTACACCGGGAGGCGTCCAGTCCACCCGGGAGGCGTCCAGCATACCCGAGGGCGTCCACCACCGGAAGGCGTCCATCGACGGGAGGCGTCCAGTCTACCGGGGGCATCCATGACAATGGGAGGCGTCCACAGGATGCCTCCGACTCCTATATAAGGAGGCCAGACCCTCCAAGCAAAGGGACTTCTCTCCCTTCCCTTACTTTACCACTTATGGTTCTCTCTCTAAATCATATCTCTCTCTACATTCTCTACACTCTATCATATACCATATTCTAACTTGACCGTCGGAGTGTAGATCACGGGGGCCGCCCCCGACTCTCCACAGGATTCTTTCACTCTCGAGGAGATCAGACGAGGGAGTCCGGATCAAGGTTCCACACAAATCCCCCGGTACTAATCCGGGTAAAACATTTTGGCACCCACCGTGGGGCCTGATTTGGGATTCTCTTCATTTGATTTCTGGAGGAGGAGAAGATTCTTCCTCCGCCGGCTACAAGCAATACCAAGAGCCTGCAAAATCCGGCCATAAGCCCGCCGTAGCAAAGAAAAATCCAAAGATTCAAAAAGGCGGTTCTGGAACTGTCTCAAGTTCAAAAGAGCCATACAAAGCCGATTCTTTCTCCATCAACGCCTGCATCACTTCTTACCGCCTCAGATTGGTAACACAAGGAAAAAGGAGAGTGTCGACACGCTTGGATCTGGGCATAAAAGAAAAATAAAAAACAAGATTCCGACCGCCGGCGATTATCGACTTTGGAGCTCCGGTGGAAAGAGGAAACCCGACAGCAGTCAACATCACCATCTCCTGTATAAAAAAAGAGAGAGAGAGCCTGTCCGCTACAGTAAAAAGCTGCACAAATAGGACAGCTATCTCTAAGACTCTCTTTTCCAAAAAGTCAGTGACATCTGAATTTCTCTCTCTGTCAGAGGAGCAGGCCTCCAATGCGTCCAACCAGTGGACCACTTCAGTACCATGCTTGGCCCGTTCCTGAAAATCTGCCACAACAAGCGCCCTCATGCGTCTGCTTCGCTTATTAGAAGACCACAACTGGTGCCAGCCCCCAAACGCGTGGCCTGTTCCGCAATGAACCGCGTCCAGCCCACTTCGTCTTAAACTCATCTCTCTTATAAAGCTCTCCATCAATGGCCCATGCAGTCGTGAACCGAAAACCGCCCACCACGACCCGCGTCCCCTTTAATTGGGCCCGTACTGCATCAAGTCCAATTCGCCATCGCTCGATCCGCAACCTAGCCCGACTTCGATAGAAGCCCACCTCCATTCAGGCCCACAAAGCACGTTCACATCCCCGCATTCCGTGATCAGCTCGCGGCCCAATCAAATGTAGGTCTTCATCTTAAAAAATAAAGAAGGGAAAATACGCTTGGATCTGGGCATAAAAGAAAAATAAAAAATAAGATTCCGACCGCCGGCGATTATCGACTTTAAAGCTCCGGTGGGAAAGAGGAAACATCACCATCTCCTGTATAAAAAAAAAGAGAGAGCCTGTCCACTATAGTAAAAGGCTGCACAAATAGGACAGTTATCTCTAAGACACTCTTTCCCAAAAAGTCAGTGACATCTGACTTTCTCTCTCTGTCAGAGGAGCAGGCCTCTAATGCGTCCAACCAGTGGACCACTTCAGTACCATGCTTGGCCCGTTTCTGAAAATCTGCCACAACAAGCGCCCTCATGCGTCTGCTTTGCTTATTAGAAGACTACGACTGGGGCTAGCCCCCAAACGCGTGGCCTGTTCCGCAATGAACCGCGTCCGGCCCACTTCGTCTTGAACTCATCTCTCTTATAAAGCTCTCCATCAATGGCCCATGCAGTCGTGAACCGACAACCGCCCACCACGACCGCGTCCCCTTTAATTGGGCCCGCACTGCATCAAGTCCAATTCGTCATCGCTCGATCCGCAACCTAGCCCGACTTCGATAGAAGCCCATCGAAGCCCACCTCCATTCAGGCCCACAAAGCACGTTCACATCCCCGCATTCCGTGATCAGCTCGCGGCCCAATCAAATGTAGGTCTTCATTTTAAAAAATAAAGAAGGGAAAACACTTCTATCAAGATTCGAACCCGCACCCCCATCATCAGCAAGTCAAAGCGCACACCACTGGACTACAAGACTGCTTTTTGAGTCAAAGTGCGACTCCTATTAATTAGACCGCTTCCCAGCTGTTTTCTACAACTTATTCTCAAGCTAAGTACTTCCTTCTAAGATATATTCAAATAATATGCCATGAAGACTGCCACTAATATCATACTATGATATTGCTTGCTACATCCTGTGCTCATATTGAAACTCTAAGTATATTGGGAACTAGTCACTCACATCTTTTGCAGATAAAAAGCCGCATCCCGCTTCCTTAGCGATGCTTCCCCTCTACGTAGAAGTCCGATTCCGCTTCCCAGTAGGCGCGACATCGGTATAGCTAGAAACATGATCCCGCCTCCCAGCAGGTGTGGCATCTTCAAAACACAAACGCCGCCTTGAGTTAAAACTCTCAAGTCGTGGGGGCCGCCCTCCCTAG